CTGTAGCTCAAGATGGTGTTCAGCTGTGAATCCTGTATGCCAGGTTGGAGAAATCTATTCTACATGTTCAACAGCGTGTGAAGCGACCTGCGAGAATCCATATCCAGTAACATTTACTACGGAAATACTTGTATTTCGAATTCTTCACAGATCTGTACTAAACAATGTGGTCCCGCGAAGTGCCAATGCGCTCCTGGTTTCGTTCGCGATTCCTCCGGGAAATGCATAGCAGTAACATCTTGTTGTGAGTTTCTTTGACAACTCGTACTGTCAGTGAAGATGACGATGTTCAGCTGGCCCTCCTGTATGCCAAGTTGGGGAAGTCTATTCTACATGTTCAACAGCTTGTGAACCGACATGTCTTAAACCAAACCCAGTAGCATTCTTTCCTGAAACAATTGTATTTTCGCTTTTGAATAGATTTGTATCGCTTCATGTGGTCCAGCGAAGTGTCAATGCGCTGCAGGTCTTGTTCGCAACTCCTCTGGGAAATGCGTAGCACCAACATCTTGTTGTGAGTTTCTTTGAAAACTCTTACGGAAACTTAAGATGATGATGTTCAGCTGTGAATCCTGTATGCCAGGTTGGAGAAGTTTGGATGGAGTGTGCGTCTGCATGTGAAGCAACATGTGAAAAACCAAATCCTGTAATTTCGTTTTCATTTTCGTTTGAGAAGAACTCCTTTACAGCTAGTTTGCACACTCCAATGTCTCCCTGCTGCCTGCCAATGTGCTCCGGGTTTCGTCCGTGACAAAACTACTGGAAAATGCATATTACCCACATCTTGTTGTAAGTTACTTAGAAAGCTCTTACTGTAGCTCAAGATGGTGTTCAGCTGTGAATCCTGTATGCCAAGCTGGAGAAGTCTATTCTAATTGTTCAACACCGTGTGAACCGACATGTCTTCAACCTAACCCAGTAACTATTTTTCCTTAAACAACTGTATTTTGGCATTCGAATAGACTTGTGTAGCTATGTGTGGACCACCAAAGTGTCAATGCGCTCCAGGTTTTGTTCGCGACTCTTCTGGGAAATGCATATTACCCACATCCTGTTGTAAGTTACTTCGAAACCTCTTACTGTAGCTCAAGATGGTGTTCAGCTGTGAAT